GGAACCGAACCCGCAATATCTCTGAGGTATGCCTGTATATGTTTAGTGCTATCCATATGCTGGAAGCTTACACCTGTCCACAAGCATAGTTACCATACCTAAAATGGATATATGAGAGCAACGTTGGAAAAGATAATCCAAATAAATGATACTAAATATAATACAGTACTTTTATTAATTTTGTTGCATTTTAATAGTTTGCTTACTGATTACAGGGCTTCCAGTTCTTTCATTGACAAACTACTCAATGCAGTATGAAAGCTTACTAAAAAGCTATTCACACTTCAAATCTTTAATAAATTCAAGATAGGTTATGTTTTAGTTTCAAGAATTGTTACAAGAAATTTTCCTGTTTTTGAAAGTTAGTATTTTGCTATCTTTTTACTATTTCAAGCTCCTTCCAGCTAGGCCTGTCAATCTCTCACAGTACCCCAATGTCCTGATATTCTGCTGAATTTGTATTTGTTGTATTGTAGGCTCAAAGTAGTGAGATTGCAGTTAAGGAGGCACCAGAATTCTGTTTCAAAGGATCTATACAGTTTCCTGTAGATCACCCCTTACTTTATTTTAGGTGCCACAGGGAATGTGAAATGAACATCAGCTATTACTTAATGTGTGAAACTATCTCTGATGTGTATTTTGTGTTTGCGTTTGTTTTAGGAGCATTTTAAGGTTCTTCAGTGGCGCTGATCACTATTTCCACACTGTTAAAATGTTGTCCTCTACCACTGCCTGAGAACTAATATGAGACATCAGACAAATCAGCCATATATCCTCTACCCCCATCCAAGTAATTCATTTTCTGGGGAAGGAGAATTACTAAGTTGATTGCCACAGCACTCGCTGCCTTTAATAATGGATTTGCTTCATACATTATATAAAAACAGGTCACAGGAGGAACTGTAATGAAAGCCTACTGTGTTCTGATTAACACAGGCTATGCCCTTTTGGTTTTTTATGTAGTAAAGTCAAACCATTTATTTTAGATGAGTGACTGCTGGTTATTTAAAAATAAGATTACACAAACTGTTTAGGCATAATGTCCATTTACAAATCAGGCCTATGATTCAACATAGCTCCTTCAAAACAAAAACATTCTCAGGTTTTATAAGCATACTCAAAAATATCTTTGGGCCAAATCGACTTTATTCCATCAAGAATTGATGGTAATATTAAAGGCCAATATATTACTTGCTTTAAAGAACCCACACTGCTGAGAGGAATTTAATGTTCATGTGATAATTCAGAAATCTAGTTGTTTAAAAATATGCCTAGAGTTAATAGGATACAGATTAGCATGTGTACACTATAATACTAACCAGTATAAAACATAATTTGCCTAATAATTCACATGGTTTGTGAAATAATCAATCTTCCTTCAAACAGAAATGTAACTTTGATTAAGGACTATTGGCTTTAAAATACTGCTCAACATTACATTCATAAAACAGAGATACAAGAAGTGCCATGATATGGTGTATAATTTAAATAATCTGTAAATCTCATACATAGCTACAATACTTAAAGTCATCCTTTTAAAACTTACTGTTACATAAAAACTGGTTTTGTTTAAATTATAGTTTAAACTTAATTTCAGTTTCTTAGGTAATGTAGTACTGAGTGGTGCAATATTGAACTTCAAGACCATAGACATATTTATTCTTTAAACAGCAAACACCGACACACATATATGTGTGTATGTAACTGTGACCTTTCAATCATTTTTATGGTTCAGTTTAATGGTGAGCACAACTTTAATTAATAATAGTTTACCTTAATTTATTTATATGTAAATTACACACACTAAAGTGTGTTGTTTATGAATTCAATTAGACTGACTCCTTCACTGTGAGTCTCATTCATGCAATTAGATTTTAGAAAATGGTGTGAAATGCCTTTGAAGTACATTTTATCTGTTTTGCTATTAGCTGAAAAAGCAAAACAGGAAGAGTGAGAAACGAACTAACAAAAATATACAAATCAAGGATTTCTTAAGGAGGACTGTTAAGAGTCCATATCCTAACTGTAAATGCTGATACTTGTACATAAAGTAGGAACGAAGAAATTGAAAAAAGCCCTTAGCTTGTGACTGTGTAAATCAGAATCAAGCTTAAATGAGGAATCTAAGAAGGAAACCATTTTGTGTGTGGCTGATGAATACCTTGAACTTTCTGAGGTCCAAAGCCAGTCAACTCTCTTTTTTCTGGGATTAGAATGTAATTCAGAACTCTCTGCCCTCATACTGGTAAGGAAACTTTTCTATTACTCCTTGTAAGATAAACAACAGGACACAGAAGTGTAGAAAGCTTTGTGACAGTGGTCCTTGAGGAGGAACTGGGTTCGGAAGTACACATTTAGTGAAGTTAGAAAGAATGTGATGGTGTCTGTTATCCAATGGTTGACCTGTGATAATAAAGGACCTATGCCTGGAGTAGGTGAGTAAACATTACTAGTTCCAGATTCCTCAAGAGTGGCTCAAATATCTCAACAAGGGAAACCAGATTCCTGAAGCTATTCTGCATAACCACTACAGACAGCACCAAGTAGGAGGCCATATCTGTGGCCTTAAGAGCTGCTTGTAAGCTGTTTTTTTGCCACTGTTTGACTCCCTGCTCTTAAGGAAGTGAACTCTCTAACAACTATGCTAAACTTGCTTGCCCCCAACCCAAAAATAGTAGCTGGAGAACAACAGTGCCTGGAAGGTAGTAACTAGGTAGAAAGAAGACGACGCCTTATGATCAAATACATTACATCATGTTGGTTCAATTTTTGGTGTAGTTGCTTGCTATTGGCAGGACTTCTCATTAATGACCCTCATGATCAAAGGTGATGACACTGAATGGAACAGAACTCCAGTAATTCTTATAAAACTTAGGTTAGGTATGGGCTGGTGTTTGTCAGACTATTCTAGCAAGGTCCATTATCACCTCCTTTATTGGGAATACTACTTTCTCTGCAGCACCTCCACTCATTTGCAGGCTGATTCCTCAGCTTCCTTCATTGGGATCTGTACAGATATTTCCCAGTAGAGCTACACTGACATTGATAGGTAAAGCTCCTGTGGCCAAGATAACTGTGGCTTATAGCAGTGGTTTTCAACCTTTTTAGACTCGAGGCACGCCTCAAAAAGGCCAGCACTTAGCTTTCACTTGTTCTTTGATTATAGAAAAATAGCACAGCAATTCTATTTGCAAACAACTTAGAAAAACCACAGCAGGTCTAAACGTTTCTGACCTATGAATTCCTATTTTAAACCTCTAGATTTAGCTCATGGACTGTGTATAGGTGTCTGTACACCTAAAAGAGGATCATGGCAGCCTGGCTGAGATCACTGGCTTACAGGCTAGCCACTGAGCAAACAATCCTTTAGATTCCCTGTGGGACATGAAGGAAGGTGGAGGGAATACTTTTGAAGAGTATCTCTATGAGTAGAGGGCCTACTGATCTTGAGGAGGAGGCCAGCAAATTTTGTGGGCAGATCATGGGGCTGGCTACCATTTTGAGGGCTTATCATGGCGCGCTCTCACATGCCTCTGATTGGCCAATGGGCCCTGGTAGCCCCACCTCCCCACTGCTGATTGGTGGAGAGGGCTGTCTGTCATACAGCCCCACCCCTTGCTGCTGATTGCTAGAGATCTCAATCAGCAGGCAGCCCTCAGCCAATCTGCAGTGAGGGGTGGGGACAGCCATCATCTTGCCTGCTGGCAGTCTCCTTCCCCTCAACAGTCCTTCCAGCCATGCAGCCCACTGTCTTGCACTGGGGACCCAGCATTTTATTTTTAGTAAGTTTTTTTTCCCCTGCAGATTTTGTGGAGATGGCTGAATTTCGTGATTTCCGCAAAATATGTGAAGTCACAATTTGAGTAGTTCCCTATCTATGATCATTCAAACCCTAGCATCATATGAAACTATGGAAGCAGGTGAAAGAAACAGTGTTGTTGGTTTTCATGTTGAAAAGAATTATCTCAATTAACTGAGTGTCCTGGAACCACCAGTCCAGGTTTCTGCAGGTTAAATAAGTCTACCCATGCTACAGGTTGGCATGTAGCATAAAAGTGAGGTATTGTCATCATCTCCATTTGGTTCTCTGCTGGTTATGAACTGCTGCCACAGGATGCCAAGAGAGCCTCCAAAGAAGTTGGTACCACAGAGCTGAGCCCTGGGATGAGGAGGTGATTTTTGGCAGTACTATAAATAGCACTCCAGTACAGTGCTTTAGTGCCAAATCCTCAGTACCATTGTGTGTACATGCTTCTTTGGGAGCCACTCAAGGCCATGAAGTTCAAGTGTGCAGGTGGTATGGGGAAGATTTCCTATAGAAAGCATTCTTTGTAGGTGGGGAGGGGATGACATCTGCCCTTGATCTCATCCAGTAAGTATTTCTTATCCATTCTGGTTAGAATAGAAATAAACTAATTCCTAAAGTAAATTTTCAAATAGAACAAGGCATTTCTGGCAGTATGGACATGGAGAACAAGAAAATCCATCTCAGACCACTAAGCTAAAGCCTAATCAGCACACCAGGTGAACCATACTAGAAAGCCTCCAGTTTTAGGTGCACCAGGCATACATGTGCCAATAAAGTGCATACTACCTATATGCCTGTATTGGATAAAGGGATACAGGTCTTAGCCATGTTGGTCTACAGGCAGAAATATGCAGAACTCTTGGCAGAGGTGGTATCTTTTATTAGATCAACTAAATAGTTGTAACTTTTTTTTTTTATTTGCAAGCTTTCAGACTCATGCACCCTTCCTCAGGCAAAGGAGACTGCACACAGATTGTAACACTTCTCCCATTGGTGACGCGTACAGGGTGCACGTATACCCCCCCCGAGATTGGCCACTGTTGACGGTGCCTGCGGGGGGAGGGGGGGGGGTCAACCCCCCGCCACCACTGGTGGCGCCTATGGGCAGTCACCGATTGCTGCCAGCATTTGCGGGTGGTCACCAACTGCCAGTCAGCACTCGCCACCCTTCCCTATCCCCCGCTGCTGCCACTGCTGTGGCCACCTGCGGGAGCTCCCTGCTCACCACTGCCACTACCTGTGGGTGGCTGCCATGCCCCCCCAGCCTCCAGGGGACAAACGTCATTCATGATTTCTCCCAGGTAGAAAAGAAACCTCATAGTGCACAGAGGGATAAAAAGACGTTATAGATAGGTTCC